AACTGCACGATGGCCGTCTGCAAGCACGACAGCACCGTGGAGCTGGTGGAGGTGGAGTGCAACCCCCCCCCGATGCCCACCTGCTCCAACGGCCTCACGCCTGTGCGCGTCAAGGACCCGGACGGGTGCTGCTGGCACTGGGAGTGCGACTGTAAGCCCCCCGCGCCGGCTCCCTTCTGTGTGTGTGCTGGGGGGCGGGGTGCACACCGCAGGTGGGACAGGCTGGCTGTGATGGCTGAGGGCCGGGCACACGTCTGGAGGGACTTGACTTGCCTCCAGCTTACTGCCCTCCTCAGGCAGGGGTCTGGGAGAGGGAGGGGCTTTCCTGGTGGGGCGCGGCCACATAGAAGGGCTGCGGCCTGGGGCAGCTGGGGTTGGGAGTGAAGTCAGGCCCTGCCCTTCGGAGGGAACACACTCGTGGGGCCCTGATGCCCCACGCGCCCTGGGCACCAGGCTTATGGGGCCTTCCTCAGTTTCCACTTGCTCTTCCCCCTTGTGCCTTGTCCCCTGACTGTGTCCTGTCCCCGCCCCCGGGGCTGGGCGCCGGCCCACCTCGGCCGCTCCGCAGGCTACTGCACCGGCTGGGGGGACCCGCACTTCGTCACCTTCGACGGGCTGTACTACAGCCACCAGGGTGCGTGCACGTACGTGCTGGTGGAGGAGGCCGTGCCCACCGTGGACGGCTTTGGGGTCTACGTCGACAACTACCACTGCGACCCCCGCGACCGGGTGTCCTGCCCCCGCACGCTCATCGTGCGCCACGAGACGCAGGAGGTGCGGCTCGAGACCGTGCAGATGGCGCCCATGACGGTGCAGGTAGGCCGGCGGCGGGGCCGAGCGTCCGAATGGGGTGGGCTGGCAGGGCCGGTGTCAGCTCCCTCGCTGGGGGGGGCCTTGCCCCAGGGCTGCGCGGGGGCAGCACTCAGTGGACATGTCAGCTCTCCTCACAGGCCCTCCGGGGCATTCAGGGACCCCGTGACCCGCCACCCCTGCTCCTGCCAGGCACCCTGGGCACAGGTCTGTGTGGCAGAAGCCCCCTCCCTGAGCACAGGGGCTCTGTGCGCCCCGCGTGGAGTTGTCATTTCCCATGGCGTGGAGAGCCCCGCCCCCTGCGCGGTTCCCCCCAAGTCTCCGGGGGCTCAGAGGACAGCGCCCTGGCTACCTGGCCCCTGGGACTAGTCAGGATGAAGGTCCGGCCCAATGCGGTGGGAAGGAAGAGGGAAGGAAGAGGGAAGGCAGAGGGGCGCGGGCACAGTGTGAGGGTGGGGGGACCCGGGTACTTTCCAAAGGCACCGCACGCTCCGGTCAGACCCATGAGGCTCCCGCCGGCCCTCCCTGACCCGGTGTGTCGGCCACAGGTGCAGGTGAACAGGCAGGCCGTGGCGCTGCCCTACAAGAAGTACGGGCTGCAGGTGTACGAGTCGGGCATCAACCTCGTGGTGGCCATCCCCGAGCTGGGCGCCCTCGTCTCCTACAACGGCCTCGCCTTCTCCATCCGGCTGCCCTACCGCCTGTTCGGGAACAACACAAAGGGCCAGTGTGGTGAGCCCTTGACCTCGGCCCCCGTGCCCTGCGCTGGGGAGGGCGGCTGGGCAGAGGCTGTCTGTGGGCCCCGCCAGCCCCGCTGTGGTTCTCTGCTCTGTTCAGGGTCCCCACAGCCATCCTTCCGGGTTTGGGCCCAGCGGGAAGCCAGCGGGAGTGCAGTCTAGCCTGTGCCCTGGGCCCTGGGCAGCTGGGCACCAGGGGACCTGGGCTGGAGGAGGGGCGGTGTCTCAGGGGCTTGCTGGGTCTGCTGGAC